GGGGGGGGGGGGGCAGGGCAGATGGCCACGGCTCCCCTGTCCTGTAGCCTCTGGTGAGACGACGAGCACATCTGCGGGGACTTCAGGGTCCCTGCGCCGGCTCATTCCTAGGTTGTGGCCTGTTGTTTTCACGCCAAGGGGACACAGGTCGTCTCAGAATCGCCCACCGAGAGTAGTTCCTTCACGTCTGGTTGTTGTTCTAAACGTGTGTTTGTTGGGAAACCGCAAAGCCACGGTAGTGAGTGTCCGTTTTGGTCTCTCGAGGTAAGAAGGCCAAGGACATTATTGACACAGCTCGGGACAACCTTGCGAAGATGATAGGTGGGAAACCCCAGGACATAATCTTCACTTCCGGGGGCACCGAGGTAAAGTCTCTAGACAGGCTCACCGTCTTTTCGCTGTAAGTCATATGAAAAAATAAAATGTGATTCCCTCTTGGTATTTTTTTAAAAGAAGAGTGATACTTAGTCTTGCTGTTTTGCAAATTAGCTTGATATAATTAGCCAATATATATCCTATAAATAAATTCCAGGTGGCTGATAGGATGTTTGTGATGTGTGTGCATTGACTTGCTTTGCATCATTTCAACGAAGAGAGTTTGCCCTTTATTTTGCCCTGGAATTAGTCTTTTAAATCCCTTATTGTTGCCTTATTAAGAGTTTGAGGTTTGAGCCATTTCAGATGCACTTTTATTTTTATTTAAAAAATTTTTAAATGTTTATTGATATTTGAGAGAGAGAGAGAGAGAGAGAGAGAGACAGAGTGTGAGCAGGGGAGGGGCAGAGAGAGAGAGAGAGAGACACAGAATCTGAAGCAGGCTCCAGGCTCTGAGCTGTCAGCATGGAGTCCCATGTGGGGCTCGAACTCACGAACTGTGAGGTCTTGACTGAGCCGAAGTCGGACGCTTAACCGATTGAGTGACCCAGGTGCCCCATGTACTTTTAAATTGATAGGAAAACTCAGAGACAGTGTGATGGCTTCTCAGTTAGTAATGGTCACTGTCTTGCTTCCCACAGGTGATGTGACTGTCCACATAGAAAACCCAGGAGAGGGCCACCTGGGTTAAGCGTTGGTTAAGCGTTGGAATTCTCTCTCCCCCCCTCTCTCTCTGCCCTTCCCCTGCTCACGCTCTCGCTTTCAAAATAAATAAACTTCAAAAGAAAAGAAAGCCCAGGAGAATCTGCAGCTAGATTATCAGAGCTAATAAGAACATTTAGCAGTTATGAGATACAAAAACCGGTTGTGTTTCTGTGTCCCCTCAACACGCACGTGTGTTGTGGAAAATCAACCTCTGTGCTCCAGAGCCAAAATGTAACACGCAGAGACGGTCTGGGGACAAAGAGGGACAATAGTTTTATCATTTTGCCAGGCAAAGGAGGCCACAGCAGGCTAGTGCCTTCAAAACTGCAGACCGGCCCGGGGTAAAAGGCTGAGGGGTTTTATAGGAAAATACAGGATCCAGGCAGTGCCGGTAGGAATCTGGACCGGGATGCCAGCCGCGTTCGTCATCTTCAAGATGGTCTTGTGACCAGCGATGGCGCCGACTATCAAGCTTCATTACTGAGAATCAATACCGAGTCCCTGGAACAAAGGATTCTGCAGAAAAACAAGTGGAGGGGAGGAGGCTTCAAGAATGAGGAAGAGGAAAATTGGTTCGGTTTAAAGTCAAGCCTTGCGGGGCGCCTGGGTGGCGCAGTCGGTTGAGCGTCCGACTTCAGCCAGGTCACGATCTCGCCGTCCGCGAGTTCGAGCCCCGCGTCAGGCTCTGGGCTGATGGCTCAGAGCCTGGAGCCTGTTTCCGATTCTGTGTCTCCCTCTCTCTCTGCCCCTCCCCCGTTCATGCTCTGTCTCTCTCTGTCCCAAAAATAAATAAACGTTAAAAAAAAAAAAAAATTTTAAAGTCAAGCCTTGCTGGAGCATTAGTGTGTCCACCTTCATTTTCCATCTTTGTGTTTCTATAGCAGCTTCAGGTGCTTACCAGAGCATGGAAAATAGCAAATACTTAGGAAATAAGCCTAATAAAAAAGAATTTGTAAGACCTTTTTTTTTAAACATCTTTTTTTTAAGTATTTTGAGAGAGAGAGAACACGAGCAGGGGAGGGGCAGAGAGAGAGGGAGAGAGAATCCCAAGCAGGCTCCAGGCTCTGCACTGTCTGCACAGAGCCCGATGGGAGGCTCGAGCTCTCAAACCGGTGAGATCAGGACCTGAGCTGAAATCAGGAGTTGGACACTGAACTGACTGAGCCACCCAGGCACCCCTGCATTTACATTTATATTTGACACACATTTCTCTGAGATAAGTTTTTTGTTTTGTTTTGTGGTTTTAAAGTCTTCTACTTTGAACTCTTCACTTACCCTCTCTTGATACAGAAACCAATATTGTTAGTTTGCTAGTGTCTTCCAGAGAGAGTCTGTGCGTTAAAAGTAAGTATGTAGATTTATATATTCTTTTTTAAAAGATGTTTATTTATTTTTGAGAGAGAGAGGGAGTGCACACGAGCAGGGGAGGGGCAGAGAGAGAGGGAGACACAGAATCCGAAGCCGGCTCCAGGCTCTAAGCTATCAGCACAGAGCCCCACACGGGGCTCGAACTCAAGAGCCACGAGATCATGACCTGAGCCGAAGTCGGATGCTCAACCGACTGAGCCACCCAGGTGCCCCTATATATTCTTTTAAAAAGATGTTTCTTTATTTTTGAGAGGGAGAGGGAGATGGAGGATCCCAAGCGGGCTCCATGCTCTCAGCACAGAGCCCGATGCAGGGCTCGAACTCACGAACTGTGAGATCATGGTCTGAGCTGAAGTCAGATGCTCGACCAACTGAGCCACCCAGGCGGCGCCCCTGGATTTATATATTCTTTTCACCTTTGGAAGCATATTTTTGCATATATAAACAAATGTGTGTGTATTTCCTCCTTTTGATAGAAATTGGATAGGTTACTGTATATAATGTCTGTGACCTTTTCATAAATTACTATCACGTAGCAAGCGTATTTGTATGTGAGATCCTTCGGTATCTGCACATAAAGGGTTTCCTTGGTGTTTATGCCTCGGTGCACAGTGAACATTGTTGCATGAGTTATTTGCCGGGCTCTCTTACTGGTGGACACTGAAGCCTTTCTGAGGTTGAGCTATTTCCGCGTTCCCCCTCAGGAAGGACCTCTGCACATGATTTCGCTTTGTGCAACGATAGCAACAGGGTCAAGTCCAAGAAGCAGACATGCTGGGTCAGAGGGCTTATTTGATAGTTATAAAATGGTCAGATTACACTCCCATCAGCAGTGGGTACTGGGGCCCAATATTCTTTTTTTGATAGGTTTATAAAATTTAAAAATTCGTAACATTGCTTAACCAGACAGGCATAACTAGCTGGAAATGAATTCTGACGTTATCGAAAGTTTGAAACCCCAACCCTTTGTCGCCAAGCATTCAAAAGGTGCAGCACAGAAGTTGAACGTCTTTGGGACTGTTTTTTTCCTTTTTAAACGTTAGCCACAAGGACAATGAAGTGAGAGAAAGTGCCACCGTCGCCCTCCCCTGAGCGCAAGTCTTACAAATGTTCTTTCTGCTGCCTCTCCGCAGTCCAACAACTTAGTAATCCATTCCGTGGTGCAGCACTTCCAGCACACCCGCAGCGCAGAGGGGGACGGGGCCATGCCCCACCTCATCACCTGCACCGTGGAACACGACTCCATCCGCCTGCCCCTGGAGCACCTGGTGAAAGAGCAGGTGGCCGGTGAGTGACCAGCCTGGCGGGATTCCCGCGGGGCAGCTCCGCTTACCTCCAGTACCGGATTCCAAGAGGAGGAACTCGCCCCTGGGACATGCGGAATCATGTGCCCTCCTGCATGCGGTCCTCAGGTGCAGGGGCCACACAGCCTGTTCCCACGTGGGGGTAATCTGTAAACTGTAAATGCTGCCAGTTTCCCCCTTAGGGACAAACTGGGTCATCAGCGTGTAGAACTAGTCATCTGATTTACTGAATGATACTTCAGACTCTTGTACGTAACAGGTATGCACATAGTGAAATCGTATGCCTATCAGTGCTAAGCAGGGCTCTTCACTTGGATATTAATTAAATCTTGGCTCCTTTCTCTGTGAAGAACAAGGGTCAAATAGATATCAGCTTCGGGGTAAACACAAGAATAACTGTGCTCCTGCTGCACGACTTCAGCTCGACACAGTGGGCGCGACTAGCCAGGCAGGCCGCGGGGTCGGGCGAGCTTGGCCAGCAGCAGCCCTGGGCACCTTTCCCTTCCCCTGTGATACGAAGTCTTGAGACACCGGGTGCAGACCGCGGACTTTTGAAAACTAAGAGCCATTTGCTCCCTCAAGACAGCCCGGGTAAACACTTTCCTTTAAACAGACTGACGTCTCAGCCTCCTTCTTCCATCTGCCTGGAAACCTGAAGGTGAATCACGGGAAAGTATTTTTATCATAATGATAAAGGACACAATGCCATGAAGCTCCACTTGACGATGAAGGCTTTTTGTTGATTTTCCCGTTGGACTGGTAGGAGAGTTTTTCTCTTTATGGTCTTACTATACTACTACTTTATTTTATTTTATTTTTAATGTTTACTTACTTTTGAGAGTGTGGGTGTGTGTGTGTGTGTGTGGGAGGGACAGAGAGAGAGAGAGAGAGAGAGAGAGAGATTGAGTGTCTCAAGCAGGCTTCATGCTCAGCGCAGAACCCAACATGGGGCTCAATCCCACAACCCTAGGATCATGACCTGAGCTGAAATCAAGAGTCAGACACTCAACCTACTGAGCCACCCAGGCGCCCTGAAAAAAATGGACTTTCAAACAAAGACTGTAACAAGAAACAAAGAAGGACGCTAAATAATCATAAAGGGAACAATCTAATAAGATACAACATTTACACGTTTACAATGTGTGTAAATATTTATGCACACAATGTGGGAGCATCCAAATACCTAAAGCCGCTAACAACAAAGGAAGTAATCCATAGTAATACAATAATAGTAGGGAGATCTAACAACCAACTTACATCAATGGATTGATTATCCAAACAAAAAATCAATAAGGAAATTGTGGCTTTGAATGACAAATTGGACCAGATAGATCTAACAGATATATTCAGAACATTCCATCCTGAAACATCAGATTACACATTCTTTTCAAGTGCACATGGAGCATTCTTCAGAAAAGATCACGTTAGGCCACAAAACAAGTCTCAACAAATTAAGAAAGACTGAAGTCATACCATGCCTCTTTTCCAGCCACAATGCGATGAAACTAGAAGTCAACCACAAGAAAAACTCTGGAAAGAGAACAAAAAACATGCTACTAACCAGTGAGTGGGTCAACCCACTTCAGAAAAGAAATTAAAAAATACATGGAGACAAATGAAACTGAAACACAACAGTCCAAAGAATTTGAGATGCAGCGAAAGCTGCTCAAAGAGGGAAATTTATAGCAATATAGGCCTAGCTCAAGAAGCAAGGAAAAATCTCAAATAAACAATGTTACCTTACACCTAAAGGAGCTAGAAAAAGAAAAACAAACAAAACACATAACCAGGAGAAGGAAGGAAATAATAAAGATTAGAGCAAAAATGAATGGAATAGAAACTAAAAACAAAACAAAACAAAAACCAGATCAGTGAAACTAGGAGCCGGGTTCTTTGAAAAGATCAACAAAATCGATAAACCTTTAGCCAGACTCATGAAAATAAAAAATAACCCCGCACAAAGTCACAAATAGGAGAAATAACAACCAACACTACAGAAATACAAAAGATTATAAGAGAATATTATGAACCATTGTATGGCAACAAATTGGACAACCTAAAAGAGATGGATAAGTCCCCAGAAACATACAACCTCCTAAAACTGAAGCAGGAAGAAGTAGAAGATTTGAACAGACCAGTGACCAGCAATGAAATTGAATCAGTAATCAAAAACTCCCAACAAACAAGAGTTCAGGACCAGATGGCTTCACGGGTGAATTCTACCAAACATTTAAAGAAGAGTTAATACCTATTCCTCTCAAACTATTCCAAGAAACAGAAGAAGGATTACCCTGATACCAAAAGCAGATAAAGACACTACAAAAAAAAAGAGAACTACAGGCCAATATATCCGATGAACATAGATGCAAAAATTCTCAACAAAATATTAGCAAACCAAATCCAACAATACAATTAAGAAAATCGTTCACCACAATCAAGTGGAATTTATTCCTGAGATGCAAGGGTGGTTTGAAATTCACAAATCAATCAACATGATATATCACCTCAACAAGAGAAAGGATAAAAACCATATGATCATTTTAATAGATGCAGAAAAAGCATCTGACAAAACGCAACATGCATTCATGATAAAACATGACCTCAACAAAGTAGGTTCAGAGGGAACATACCTCAACATAATGCGAAAAACCCGCAGCTAACATCATACTCAGCAGTGAAAAACTGAGAGCTTTCCCCATAAGATCAGAAATGAGACAAGGCTATCCACTCTCACCACACAGTACTGGAAGTCCTAGCCACAGCACTCAGATCAGAAAAATAAAAGGCATCCAAATTGGTAAGGAAGAAGTAAAAGTTTTCACTATTTGCAGTTGACGGAATACTCCATACAGAAAACACCAAGAACTTCACACACACACAAAAACCTACTAGAAATGATAAATGAATTCAGTAAGGTCACAGGATACAAAACCAATATGCAGAAACCCATAGCATTTCTATATGCTAATAATGAAGTAGTAGAAAGAGAAATTAAGAAAACAGTCTCGTTTACAATTGCACCAAAACCAGTAAGATACCTAGGAATAAGCAAACAGATGGAAGACCTATACTCTGAAAACCATAAAACACTGAGAAAAGAAATCAAAGGCGACAAAGATGGAAAGATACTCCATGCTCATGAGTTGGGAAAAGACATATTTTTAAAATGCCCGCACTACCCAAAGCAATCTACACATTTAATGCAGTCCCTATCAAAATACCAAAGCATTGTTCAAGAACTAGAACAAACAATCCTAAAATCTGTATGGGATCAAAAAGGCCTCAAATAGCCAAAGCAGTTTTGAACAATTAGAACAAAACTAGAGGTAATACAACCCCAGCTTTCAAAATATACCACAGAGCTGTAGTGATCAAAACAGTATGGTGCTGGTACAAAATAGACACATAGGTCAATGGGCTAGAATAGAAAACCCACAATAGAAATAAACCCACAATTATACGGTCAATTAGTCTTTGACGAAGTAGGAGAGAACATGACATGTGAAAGAGACATTCTCTTCAACAAGTGGTGTTGGGAAATCTGAACAGCTACATGCAAAAGAACGACACTGGACCACTTTCTTACACCAAACACAAAAATAAACTCAAAACGGATTAAAGGTCTAAATGTGAGACCTGAAACCATAAAAATCCTAGAAGAGAGCACAGGCAGTCATTTCTTTGATGCCAGCCGTAGCAACTTCTTTCAATATATGTTTCTGAAGCAAGGGAAACAAAAGCAAAAATAAACTACTGGGACTACAACAAAATTAAAAAACTTCTGCACGGTGAAGGAAATAATCAACAAAAGAAGAAGAAAAACTGCTGAATGGGAGGAAATTTTGCAAATGATATTTCCAATAAAAGGTCAGTATTCAAAACATATAAAGAACTTATACAACTTAACATCAAGAAATCAAATAATTCAATTAAAAAATGGGCAGAAGACATGACAGACATTTCTCTATAGAAGATCTCCAGATGGCCGACACATGAAAAGATACTCAATATCACTAATAATCAGGGAAATGCAAATCAAAACCTCAGTGAGATGTCGCCTCACGCCTGTCAGAATGGCTAAAATTAAAAATCACAAAAGCAACAAGTGTTGGCGAGGATGTGGACAGAAAGGAACACTCATGCACTGTTGGTGGGAATGCAAACTGCGTAGCTACCGTGGGAAACGGAATGGAGGTTCCTCAAAAAATTTAAAATAGAATTACCATATGATCCAGTAATCACACTACTGGGTATTTAGCCAAAGAATGTGCAAACCCTAATTTGAAAAAGTATAAGCACTCCTATGTTTATTATGGCGTTATTTACAATAGCCAAGATATGAAAGCAGCCCAAGTGCCCACTGATAGATGGATGGCAAAGATGTATATATACACCATGGAATATTACTCAGCCATAAAAAATAATGAAATCTTGCCACTTGCAACAACATGGGTAGAACTAGAGAATATAATGTTAAATGAAACCAGTTACGCAGAGAAAGACAAATACCATATGTTTTCACTCATATGTGGAATTTAGGAAAGAAAACAAACAAATTCAAAAAGACAAACCAAAAACAGACTCTCAACTATAGAGAACACACTGGTGTTCCCAGTGGGCAGGTGGGTGGGGGGATGGGTGAAACAGGTGAAGGGGATTCATGAGCACGGAGTAATGTATAGAATTGTTGAATCACTACATTGTACACTTGCCACCAATATAACACTGTAGGTTAGTTATAGTGGAATTAAAATTTTTTAAAAATTTTTTTGAGAGACAGCATGCATGTATGTGCGAGCAGGGGAGGGGCAGAGAGAGAAAGAGGGAATCCCAATAGGCTCTGTCAGTACAGAGCTAAATCCCATGAACCGTGAGATCATGACCTGAGCCGAAATTGAGAGTCGGACACTGAACCGACTGACTGAGCCACCCAGGTGCCCCTAAGATAAATTTTTTTTAAACAAAGATGCCCTTGGGGCACCTGGGTGACTCAGTTGATTAAGCGTCCGACTCTTGCCTTCTGCTCAGGTCATGATGTCATGGTTCGTGAATCGAAACCCCACATCAGGCTTTGCACTGACAGTGCGGAGCCTGCTTGGGATTCTCTCTCCCTGTCTCCCTGTCCCTCCTCTGTCTCTTTCTCACCTTCTCTCCCTCTCCCTCTCTCTCAAAAATAAATGCATAAACTTAAAAACATAGGAGAGAAAAAAGATGCTCTCATGAGCTAAGAGCGGATTACCTCCTCTTGGGCCCCTCCACAGCCGAATGGGGAGTGTGTCCCACGGATGCTCAGCGACGGAAGTGGCATGAGAGGAGCCTTCAGGTTGGCTGTTTCTGGGCACCGTGATAACGGGTGGCTTATACTCCTCCTTGATCGGTTTTGGAACTTTTACAATCGGTTACTTTTTAATGTGGAAATACTTTTGTTAAGCTGTATCTAAATGAACTTTCAGCAGAGGTTATTTCGTAAGATTAACCTCGGTCCTTGGGTCTTTTCCTCAGCGGTCACCTTTGTGCCAGTGTCCAAGGTGAGCGGGCAGGTGGAGGTTGAGGACATCCTGGCCGCCGTCCGCCCGGCCACGTGCCTCGTGACGGTCATGCTGGCCAATAACGAGACTGGCGTCATCATGGTGAGTTGTTTATCCTTTTAAGAAAACGTAGCACGGGATGAAGGGAGCCCACGCTCTGCTTGATTTTCTCAGGCACCACACCTGGGGCCTCTTCCTCTCGTTTTTCTTGTTTGTCGCCTGTCCTCCTTCATGACTCTGTGCTTCTTTCACTGGGTTTTCATGAAATCAAAGCAACATCCTCAACTGTTTCTTTTTCCCTGCTTCAGCCCATTGCTGAAATCAGTCAGCGAATCAAAGCCCTGAACCGGAAGCGGGCAGCTTCCGGACTGCCTGTCATTCTGGTGCACACGGACGCCGCGCAGGCCTTGGGGAAACGGCGCGTGGACGTGGAGGTTCTGGGCGTGGACTTCCTGACCATCGTGGGGCACAAGGTGCGTCCACAGAGGCCTCCTCCCCCCCGTGACCTCGAGGCTCACCTTAGAGCAGGGCCCACAGCGCCACTGATCATCCGTTTGTCATCCAGGGCGCCCGGGGGACATGGTGCAACAGCCTGCGGCCCCCGCCCGCGGGGGCTAAAGAAGGGGGGCCAGCAGCAGCTGGAGTGCCGTTTGATGCGTGGCACAGGGTGGAGAGTGGGGCAGGAGGGGCCGGCCAGGCAGGGCTGTGGGAGGGTACTGAGGGCTCAGGTGAGACATAAGGCAGGTGGCTTTAGCCAGGTAGTGAGTGTTCTCTGCCGTGGGCAGAGAGTGCCTGCAGACCCCTCGCCAGCCCTCGTGTCCCCCGCCTCCGCCGCCCCGGGGACGGAAGAGGTGGGGTTCAAGACGTTGCCTTCTCTAACTTGATTGAAAGCGCGGCTCCTGAACGCAGAGGTTCAGCTCTTCTCTTTACGGTGGAAGAGAGAAACGTGAGCAGGGAACGCCCTTCTGAGGCTTTGCTCATCTTTCTGGCAGTGGACCGGAACCTCAAGTAGTTTTAATCCTCTATTTTGAAGCATGGTGCTCAGCTAGTTTCCAAAGGAGTATGTGTGCCGACCTGACGCCGTGGCTCTTAACTGATTTTTGCAAAATGATGATTCAAAAACGTGGAGTCGTACCCAGGAAAAGCCCTTGGCAATCTCTAGTTCCAGCCGCTCGCCTTTTACGAATTCTGTTCTGTGATGTGCAGTCAAGCTGTGTTGCCACTGGGCTGGGAACAGGAGTGCAGGCTCCGCCCTGGACCCCGAAGGCGATTTTGACTCCGGCACGTCCAGAATGGTGACAGGTAGCACGGCTGTGGGGCTTACACAGCACACAGGATTTCTCTGGGTGCCTCTAAGCACTCAGCACGTGTACAGAGTAGGAACTCGGAAGGTTCTTGTTGAATAAGTGACCGACCTTTCTTTCCAGTTCTATGGTCCCAGGATTGGAGCACTTTACGTCCGCGGACTCGGTGAACTTACCCCTCTGTACCCTATGCTGTTTGGAGGTGGACAGGAACGGAATTTCAGGCCAGGGTAAGATAGAAGGTTAATAGAAGTTTCTGACCTACTGGTGATACTCTTGGTCTGTAGGCAGTAACTTGTCTTTGTCTCTCGGAAGAACTGTAATAGCCCATTCTCTGTCACTACTGAGTCAGAATTTGCCCCACTGATGGATTCTGCACTTAGGACTCCCAGATCTTCGGTCTCTATGGGGATGATTCAACACGGGAGCCCTCCTTACTGAGATGTACTGCTGTGCTCATGACCGTGGGATGAGCGGGGCTGACAGAAGCACTTGTTTCCTTTCTGGCAGCTCCTTTCTGACACACAGTGCTACTTTAGCCAGGACCACGCCTTTTATCAGAAATGCTAATAAGAAGGAGAAACCAGAACATGGTGGTGGGTTCCTTGGGTTTTCTTTTGCGTCCTTTCTCCTGACTTAGAACTGATGAAGCCTGCAACCCAGAAACACCAATGGAAGTGTCAGCGAGGAAAAAGAAAACGTAAAGAAGAACTAAATGGAAATTTTAGAGCTAAAAACTACAGCAACCAAAGTCCGAAGCTCCGTGGATGGGCTCACCAGCAGGATAGGGGCACCAGAGGAAGGAGCCTGTGAACCAAAAGAGAACAACAGTGTTACCCAATCCAAACAGCAGGGAGGCAACAGACTGGAAAAAACTGAAACCATGCCTCAAGGACCTGTGGGACTATAACAGAAAATCTAACATTCATTTCATTGGTGTCCCAGAACGAGAGGAGAAAGGGTGGGGATGAGAAGGAACTTGAAAAAAAAAAAAATGGCTGAAAACTTCCCAAATTGGCAAGAGACATATACCTACAGATTCAGGAAGCTGAACAAACCCCAAGCAGGATGAACCAAAAGAAATCTATGCCAAGGCATATAGTTAAACTTCTGAAAATGAAAGCCAGAGTAAAAATCTTGAAAGCAGCTAGAGGAAAAAAAAAATGACACCTTTCCTATAGAGTAAAAGTAATTCAAATGGCAGTGTATTTCTCATCAGAAACCCCGGGGGGCCAGAAGGAAGTGATGCAATATGTTGCAAAAGCACTGTCAAGCCAGAATCCTATACACGCAGAAATACCCTTCAGGAACAAAGGGGAAAGCAAGACATTCTCAAGTAAAGGAAAGCTAGCGGAATTTGTCCTCTGAAGACCAGTGCTAAAAATGACAAAAGGGAGTTCTTTAAACAGAAAGGAAATAGTAAAAAAAAAGGAAACTTGGAACATCAGAAAGGAAGGGAGGAAAGGGAAGGGAAGGGAAGGGAACGAAGCATGTTATGGGTAAATAAAATAGGCTTTCCTCTTGAGTTTTCTTAATTATATTTGATGGCTGAAGCAAAAATGATAGCACTGTCTAATGTGGTTCAAAATATATGTGGAAGAAATATTTAGGATAATTATAAATGGGGGAGGGCTAAAAGGATGTAAATGGAAGTAAGGTTCTACTCACTGGAACATCTCAAAAATGTTCAAATAACCCACAGGGAGGTAGGAAAAAGAAAACAGAGAAATAAAAAACAGAATAAACAGAAAAAAAATGTTAATGGCAGACCTAAGCCCTAACATATTAATTACATTAAATGTAAGTGATCTAAATGTAGCAATTAAAAGACAGAGCTTGGCAGAGTGAATTTTTTAAAAAATGGACCTAACTATAGTTGAGCCTTGAACAAACAACACAGGGGTTAGTGGTGCCAACCCCTGCACAGTTGAAAATCTGCATGTAACTTTTTAAATTCCCCCCAAACTTAACTGCTAATAGCCTACTGTTGACTAGAAGTCTTACTGACAACATAAGCAGTCAATGCATATTTTGTATGTCACACGTATTATACAGTATATTCTCCACAATACAGTATGCTAGCAAAAAGAAAATATGGCAAAAATTATGAGGAGAAAATACATTTATAGTACTATAAAAAACCTGCATAAAAGTGGACGCATAGTGTTCAAACCTGTGTTGTTCAAGGGTCAAGTATATATGCTATCTTTAAGAAACTCACTTCACATATACTGATGGCTGAAAATTAAAAAATGGAAAAATATGTATCAGACAAACCTTAATCAAAGGAAAGCAGGAATGGCTATATAACATTAGATAAGGAGACTCTAGAGCAGAGAAAATTACCAGAGACACAGAGGGGACATTATATAATGATTAAAGAGTTAGTCCACCAAGAAGTCCTAGCAATCCTAAATGTCAATGCACTGCATGATAGAGCTGCAAAATAGTGTGAGGCAAAAACAGATTGAACTGAATGAAAAGAGAAATAGTCAACCCACAATTGCACTTGAAGACGTCAACATCCTTCTGTCAACAACGGATACAACAACCAGACAAAAGTCAGCCAGGATATGGAAGAACTCAGTCATACCCAACAACCAACCGATTGAAGTGTTTAGAACACTTCATCCAACAGCAGCAAAATATACATTCTTTACAAGTGCCATAGAATATATACTAAGATAGACTATGTTCTGTGCCATTAAACAAACCTCAATAAATTTGAAGAACTGAGGCATCTGGTGGTTCAGTCAGTTAAGCATCTGACTTTGGCTTGGATCATGGTCTCACAGTTCTTGAGTTTGAGCCCCACATCTGTGCTGATGGCTCAGAGCCTGGAGCCTGCTTTGGATTCTGTGTCTCCCTCTCTCTCTGCCCCTCCCCCACTCATGCTGTGTGTCTGTGTCTCCCAAAAATAAAACATTTTTTAAAATTAAAAAAAAAAAACTACAATTCACTTAATATGAGAGTAGATCATTTAAATAGCTTTATAATTATTAGGAAAAGGAGATTAATTTTGTAATTAAAAAAAAATTTTTTTAATGTTTATTTTTGAGAGAGACAGAGACAGAATGCAAGTGGGTTAGGGGCAGAGAGAGAGGGAGACACAGAATCCAAAGCAGGCTCCAGGCTTCGAGCTGTCAGCGCAGAGCCTGATGTGGGGCTTGAACCCACGAGCCGTGAGATCATGACCTGAGCTGAAGTCGGACGCTCAACCAACTGAGCCACCCAGGCGTCCCCATTTTGTAACTTTAAACCCCCCCAAAAATAAATCTCCAGGGCCAGATAGTTTCATGAGAGAATTCTGCCAAACATTTAATGAATTAACACCATTTCTATGCAGTCTCTTCTAGAAAAGTGGAGGAAGGAACATTTCCCCAATTCGTTTTATGAATTTATACCCAAATCAGACAAAGGTGGTATAAAAAAATAAAACTATGGACCAGATATCCCTCATGAATTCAGATGCAGAAATCTTGAACAAAATATTAGCAAATGGAATTCAGCAATATATAAAAATAATACACACACCACGATAAAATGGAGTTTGTTCCAGGAATTCAAGGCTGGTTTAGTATTCAAAAATCAATCTATGCAATATAGCATAGTAAAGAAGAAAAATAACATCATTTAATGTAGAAAAAGCATTTAACAAAATTCAACATTTATTCATTAAGAAGTCTCACAATGATATGACCAGAGAACTTCAGTTTGAAAAGGACATTTACAAGAAAATCTACAGCTAACATCATACTCAGTAGTCAAAGCCTGAATGTTTTAACCCTATGATCAGGAACAATCTGGGGATGTCCACGCTTACCTCTTTTTCAACAGTTCTGGAAGTTCTAGTCAGTGCAGAAGGCAAGAAAAGGAAATATGAGGGATACAGATTGGAAAGGAAGAGGTAAAACTGTCCCTATTTATAGTCTCTGTAGAAAATCCCAAGAAGTATATAAGAAAACACCTAAGACTGATAAGTGAATTCAGCAAGATCACAGGTTACAATACAAACATACAAAAATCAACCATATTTTTGTACATTGGTAATGAACATATGAACAACAAAATTAAAAAATACAATACCGTTTATAATCACTCAAAAATAGAAAGCTAACAAAATGCGTACAGGACTTGTAAGCCAATAACTACACGATGTGGATAAAAGAGAGCAAAGATCTAGGTAAGTGGAGAGATATACTCTGTTCATGGATCAAAAGACTCAGTATATAAAGATGTCAATTCTCCCCAAACTGGTAAATGTTTAGTCCAGTCTCTGACAAAAACCCAGCAAGTAAACCAATGGAACAGAATAGATACAATCAGAAATATGCCGAAATGATTTTTGACAAAGATACAAACGTAATTCAGTGGAGGAAAGATTCTCTTTCAACAGATGGTGCTAGACCAATTAGACATCCTTGGTCAGGAAACCACCCTCCATCTAAGTCTCACATCTTATAAAATATTAACTCAAGATACATGATGAACTTAATGTAAAACATAAAACTATAAAACTTTTAGAAAACAAAAACAGGAGAACATCTTCAGGCTCTAGGGCTCAGCAAAGAGATCTTAGACTTGATACCAAAAGTATCCATAAAAAGGAAAATTGATAAACTGAACTTCATCAAGATTTAAAACTTTCACCCTGCAAAAGACTTTGTTAAGAGGATGAAAACTCAAGCTGTGCACTGGGAGAATAGGTTCTCAAATGATGGCTTCAACAAAGGATTAGTATCTAGTATATATAAAAAACACTCAAAATTCAACAGCCCCAAATCCCAAACAATTCAGTCAAAAAATGGGCGAAAGACATAAACAGGCATTTCACTAAAGAAGATACACAGACAGCAAAGAAGCACATGAAGTGATAATCAACATCGTTAGCTATTACGGAAATGCAAAAGAAAACTTCAGTGAGCATCATCCGACACCTATCAGCATGGCTAAAACAAAACCCTGTGACAACACCGAGTGCTGAGAGTACAGAGACACGGCATCACTCATACACGGCTGATGGGAGTTTGAAGTGGTCCACCCGCTCTGGAAAACAGCCTGGCAGTTTCTTTTAAAATTAAATATGCACCCATCATACAACCTAGGAATTTCACTCCTGGACATTCATCCCAGAGAATGAACACTTGTATTTACACAAAAATCTGTACACGAGTGTGTATAGCGGCTTTATTTATAATAGCCCCAAAGTGCAAACAACCCAGATGTCCATTAATGAGTGAGTGGCCTAAAAGGCTGTGGCACATCTGTACCGTGGACGCTACCCAGTAACGAGAAAGAATTCACTCTTGATACACACGACAGCCCAGAATCTCCGGCGAATTATGGTGTATGAAAAAAAGCCAATGCCCCAAAGGTACAGCTCTCTAATTCCATTTATAGAACATTCTGAAAACGACAAAATTAGAGGTGGCGGACAGATTAGCAGTTGCCAGGAGTTAAGGAAGCAGTGGGGCTGCAGGGAGGCTGGTCTGGTTATAAAAGGCCAACGGGGGGACCTTTGTGGCAGAAATGTTCTGTATCTTATCCGTATCCGGGTTGTGATCTTGTGCTATAGTGTTATTAGGGCAAAGCTGAGTGACAGAATGCCTCTATAGTATTTCATATAACCACATCTGACTCTACATTCTCTTAAAAAAAAAAAAAAGTTTAAAAAAAAAGGGCAGAACGTCAGGTGTTCTGGAAGCTCAGTAGGTGGACAGGGAGGGGGAAGCAGGGTTTGCGTTGCTCTAGATGGAGGGTAGAGGGCTACCCGAACGCCCCGAGGGAGGGAAGGCTCCAGGTTCTACATGGGGTCCTGACTCTTCCACGTGGGCAGCCCCTGCCCAGGCAGTCACAGGTGGTAGGCCTCTGAGAGGTGCTCTTGGTCTGGACGAGCTGCCCTACAGGTGAGTGGGGTGAGGTCTAAAGAGGGAATGTCCCGGACCTTCCCCAGGTGTCAGAGCCTGTCTCCGGGGACACAACTGACCAATAAACTTGTCAAAGGAAGCTCAGCAGGGTCACGTTACCTGTACTACCCTGCGCTTCGAGTTCACTTGTCCCCTTATCTACTGGGCAGCAAGCAGCCGCCAGCCCCAAATGTTTACGAAAACTTTGTGTAGCCAAAACTTAAAATTAAGAAAATTAATAAGTTAGTGAAAATAGAGCAAAGAGTTCTGCTTTTAGCTTGTTAGATCTGAGCGAGAGCCACCCGCCTGCAGGGGCCCTCCTGTCCCTCTCCTGCACACACACAATCTCTAATAACAAAGGATTCGTCCCGTATGATAGTTGAGAAGCTTCAGCTGAAGGGAGCAGTGTTGAGCTGAGGTCTTTGGACCCCTGCCCGGTTCGACAGGGAGGCCCAAAGAGGCAGGCCCTGGGGTCTGCAGTTGGAGGAGGGGTCTTTCCTGGGTGGGAAGAGGATCCAGACAGAATGGTCACTGCAAACACCCAACATAATATTGCCCAAGATGGGCCGTGTCAACTGGGACTGGACCGGGAGTGTCCACATGGAGGGTTTGGGGGCCTACGGCTGCCACTGAGGCAGCCACATGGCACATGTCTAGCAAAAATGTTGGTGTAATTTTGTTTTTATTTTAATTCATGACTTCTGCAGACAGGATTCCTTCCTGGGACACTTGCTAGTTGCTTTGCATGGAAATAGGATTGAATGAATCCCTTGTCTCTTACAGGACAGAGAACACCCCAATGATTGCCGGCCTTGGGAAGGTAAGCCTTGCTGAGCTTGGACAGGTGAAGCGGGTGCTTTGTCTCATGTGTAGGAAAACCTGAGTCTTGCTCCAGGGGTGTCCCCTTTACTCCCCCATGCACAACACCCCGACACCTGATGTGGTGCAGGGGGGGAGGCTTCCACAGGGGACAATTCTGGGGCACCAGGTGGGTGTCCTACAGTTTAACTCAACTCTAACACTGTCCACCTGGAGATGGCGTCAGACCCCCGCAGGCCAAGTGCTCAGGCCCCCAAGACTGCCCCCACCAGCCCCACGTCACACGCCAGTTGTCAGTCCCAGCAGCCAGCTATAGATCTGAGGTTCCCGTGACCCCCTCCTCGGGTTCAGTTAGTTTGCCAGAACGGCTCACAGAAGTTACAGAAACACTTTGCTCACTAGATTATTGGTTGAGTGTGAAAGGATGTGATAAAGGAGACAGACATCCGGACGGAAGAGACGCGCAGGGCAAGGTGTGGGGGAGGTGCTATCCCAGCAGCACCTGCATGTGTTCAGCAACCCGGAAGCTCTCTAGACCCACGCTATTGGGATTTTTGTGGAGGCTCTGATCAGTCCTTCACTCCATGTTTAGCGCCCCCCCACCCCCTCCGGAGAATGTGGTAGCGGGGTGAAAATTCCAAGCCTCTAATCATGATTCAGTGACCCGTGCCCTCCCAGAGCCCACCCGGAGTCTCCACGTTAGAATAAAAGATACTCGTATCTCCTGGGAAATCCCGAGGGGTTTAGGAACACTGTGTCAAGAACCGAAGTCTAAATACTAGAACAAGAGGTGCTCCTAGCTCTTATCACTTAGGAAATTACAGGGGTCTCAGGAGCTCTGTGCCGGGACCCAGGCACTGAGACCTATTTTTTTCCATCATCTCATGATCTGTTTCCCCAGGACTTTGGGAGAGATCATGTTCGTGAGCCCAATAAATGGACTGATGTTAGAAAAAGCCTCAAATTATATTCATCATCCCGGAAGTATACTTTTTGAGTTCTGTAGAGTGGGTTGCACGTGCTTAGCATTGAAAACGAAAAGCTCTTTCCTCAAGCCTCTGCTGATATGAGAAATATAGTCATGTCTTCACAGCAGAGACCAACGGTCAGGCCCACAGGTTTGCTGGGCCCCCGGGCCGCCCCGGCACCCCCCTGGTTGTCCTTCCAGGGTGGCGTTTGCAGCAGGAGATCCCATATGCTGGCACCTCAGCTCCCTGCTGCAGCTGCACCTTCGCCCACATTCTCTGACTGTCCCCCCTTTCCCGGCCCGGGCCCCACTCCCTGGAGACGACTCCCAGGCCGGTCTGGGTGTCCTCCCAGCTTCCCTCCCTTCCTGTGCGCTTCCCGAGGAACCGCCCCTCCTGCCTGTGTCCTCCGTGCACCTCCTCCTGTGCCTCTCCACTAGAATGTTCCCAGCTTTCCAGACTGCCTTTCCGGCCGCCCTGCAGCCTCCTCCCCAGCCTTCCCACCGCCATACGGCCTGCCGGCCAACCTCCTGATGCCCCCCCAGCCTCCTCTCCACAACTAACATCGCCCTCGGGGCTCTCCCCCTGTCCTGCAGCTCCACCACCAGCCTGTGCTCAGGGCTTTGAACGTGGCATCTCAGGGCAGGTCCTGACCTTTCTCCTGAGAGACCCACATCCCCCACTGCTTACTTGGCATTGCCGCTGGGCGGGCACACGCGTCTCCTCCCTGGCTCCCCTCCCTCTCCATGGTGCCTGCCGCCATCCAGCACCTCATTGGAGAAATCTAGGAGATGCCTTGTCCTGCCTGGTCCTCGTCCCCTGCACCTGATGAGCAGCCAGTGAGTTCTGCGTCCTGTCTCCACAATATACCGAGGTCTGCGGCCTGTGCGTCTCCAGGGCCTACCCGGCTGGACCGGGTCATCCCCATCTGTAGTCTGCACTTAGCTCCTGATCCTGTCTGTCCTGGGCGCCCCGGCCTTGTCCCCCTCTGTCACTCTGTGCTGGGAACACACCTGCCCCTCCCTCTCCCTCTGCCGTGGCCGTGAACACCCTCACTCTGTGCACAACCACCGCCACCCCCCTGCCCCCGTCTGCATGATGCTGTCCTCGTCTCTGGAACGGAGCTGCTGGAACCGGCGGATCTCTGGTGCCGGGAGGTGTCAGGCAGGGCCTGATAAAGTAAATTCCTGTTGAACAGGTGAAGATAACTTCCGAAGCACGTATCCTGGCCCCTGGCACACGGTCGCACTCAGTAAACATGATCTATTCCTGATGTTGCAGAAAATGAGCACTGTGAGGAAATGTCACTTCTCTGTTATCAGTAAATGTCACCTCCACTCTTGAAGGCTGCTTTATTCTCCTTTGTTCTAGGACAACTGAGCATACTTTTTCCCTCTGCTGTTCCTGTGTCCCCAGGCTGCGGAGCTGGTGACCAAGAACTGGGAGGCTTACGAGGCCCACATGAGAGACGTTCGCGACTACCTGGAGGAGAGGCTGCTGGTGAACCCCGGGATCCGCGGGGACGGGGTGGGGGGCGGGGCTGTGAGCTAGGGGGTCACGGGAGGTG